AATCGCCTTCTACCGAGCTCCAAATTTGATTTTGAGTTATGAACTCAAACCCCCGTTTTGGGAACTTTTAATTCTGCCCAGATAGGCCTTTTTCGCGTTCGCGACCATTGCTTCGCGTTCGCGACCATTGCTTCGCGTTCGCGACCATTGCTTCGCGTTCGCGAAGGCCAAAACCCAACTGTCTCAAATCCTTCATCGCGTTCGCGACCTCCTCGTCGCGTTCATGAAGTCCAACTGTTTCTGCCCCATCATTTCCTCTTCGCGTTCGCGAACTCCTTGTCGCGTTCGCGATGACCAGCTGACCAACTCCTTCGCGTTCGCGAAGGCCAAACGACCCCAGGCCCTAATCTTCTTTTCTTCTCCGCGTTCGTGTTGCCTGGGCCGCGTTCGCGAAGGCTTGCCCTGCTCCTTCTTCGCGTTCGCGTCCACAGCTTCGCGTTCGCGAAGAAGGAAACCAGACTTCAGCAACAGCAGTCCAAACAGCTCCAATTTGGTCCGAAACCACCCCGAAACACACCCGAGCCCCTCGGGACTTCAACCAAACATACCATCAAGTCCCAAAACATTATACGAACTTAGTCGAGGCTTCAAACCACATCAAACAGCGCCGGAATTACGAATCGCGCATCGAATCGAATTATGAACTTCCAAAACTTCCAACTTCTAAAACTCGTGCCGAAACCTATCAAACCAACCCGGAATGACGTAAACTTTTGCAGGCAAGTCCCAAATAATATAACGGAGTTGTTCCAACTCTCGGAATCGCATTCCGACCCTGATATCAAAAAGTCAACCCCCGGTCAAACTTCCCAAAAATTCGACTTTCGCCATTTCAAACCTAAATTGGCTACAGACCTCAAATTCACAATCCGAACACGTTCCTAAGTCCAAAATCACCCAACGGAGCTAACGGAACCGACAGAACTCTATTCCGGAGTCGTCTTCACACAGTTCCGACTACGGTAAAAATCCTAAGACTTAAGCTTCCATCTCAGGGACTAAGTGTCACAAATCTCTCCGAATCATCCGTAAATCAAACTCGACCACACACGCGGGTCATAATACATATTGCGAGGCTGCTCGAGACCTTAAGTCACTGAACGGGACGTAAATTCTTAAAACGACAAGTCGGGTCGTTATAATTGTTTACTTAAAGTCAAACCTTGATAAATTCCTCCAACTTAAAGCTTCCAAATTAAGAATCACTCCACCAAAATCGAACATCAAAACCAACCATACACGCAAGTCATAGTACATCTTATGAAGCTACTCAAAGTCTCAAACCACCTAACAAAATGCTAAAACTCAAAACGATCAATCACCGTCACATTGATATTATAAGTCCGTAGAAATCCAAACAGCAATAGTTATTTCAGGGATTTACGCAAATATTCTTTAGTCACATCAGGCCATTCTCAATAGTGTATTGAGGACGTCCTCCTCTTTTACTCACTCAAAAAATGCAGTACCTCAGGTTCAGTTGGATAATCAATTATAGCGCAGTCCCCCTCAACTGTCATTGCCTACATAATAAGAGGGTCGGCAACCATCTGTAACACCTTTTGCGAATGTGTGGTGCATGAGGGCCTGCATGTGCTCTAGATACTTCAGGTTTCGTCCAAGGGATACTCCTCTGCATAGTTCATGTGCTTCTTTTCAAATTCACGCATGTAATGTGTTCAGAAGTTTATAGAGTTGGACAATACTTTTATTATTTATAAAAACAAAACAAAAAGGTACAAAATGCTGTAAAATAGAGATGGGGATCTGGTCGTATGTAGTAAACACACCAATTAATATACACCAATTACACTTCAATTCTGAAGTAGTTCGTATCGGCATAGATTGCCTTTGATATGTAATTACAGAAATAATTACAAACATTTAGAATTTGTGCTATGACAATAACCACACGCTCTGTCCCAATTCCGGCTGTTCAGGAAGGAGGTTGGTCACCACTTTCCTACGGACTCAAAGACACTCAACAAGCCAATATCACCCCAACCTAAGAAAAAAATACATATAGTATATGATACAACTGATAATTACCTTCCATCAAAATAATACTAACAATTATATGCACATTAAACCATTATCTGCAGCTCCGAATTTCTATTAGTGATATTTGCTTTTGTGAATATGAAACTTGATTCTGAGCAGACTGCCTGTGATTGACAAGTTTAGGCTTTTTGCTCTCTTTGCTTGGCAGTTGATTATCCTTGTAATACATAGGAGCTGTCTTGCAGAGACTCCCGCATGCCAAACCTATATTGAGCTCACCTCAATTTTGTTTCCTTACCACAACCATTCAGGTTGTCACGTGTACCAAGGTTATCCGCCTCATGAGCCAGAGAAAGTTTGTCCCTTGCTCCTAAAACCAACTTCTGAGGACAACCCAGCCTTTGGCTAAGATCAATTTCTTTCAATCTTGCCAAGGCACCCATTTGAGTCTGTCTTCTCAAGAGCCTTTTAACCATATCATCCAGTTCCACAATTTTTCTCTGTAAGTTGGTTCTATCCATCTGTGAACACGGTGGGAAATGGAACAGCAATATCATTATTAACTAATGCACCAGTATAACATTTATCTCCTAATATGGGCAAGAGAAGAAAAGTTCATACTGTCAGCATTTCATTTTGAGCAGTCAGCAACTGATCACGTTCTCGTAACTGTTCTATGCACATCTGGGATGATAACACGTCTGCCTCACTTTTTTTCACTTTCAAAATGTATCTAAAAATTGGTAAATAGTCAGAACCCATCATATAGCATCCTACAACCAGAATCTAAGTAGAATATTATACTGGTTATTCTCAAATACTAGAAGATTTATCAATCCTATGCACTTTCTGGAAGAACTTGAATGATAATTTGAGTAACTCCAAGAGAAACACTATTTAATTGATTGGCCTCTCATTCAATAAGACACTCCACTGCCAATCATACTACTAATATGACATATCATTCCTTGTCTACTCAGTACCGGTTAAATTTAAGAATGAGGAAGACAAAGTAACTTACCTCTCTCTTTCTTCAACTAGATCATCAATTTGTCTCCTTAGATCTGAAAGTTGTCTCTCCTGTAATAACATAAACCAGTGTAAGGCTCACAATGAAAATAAGTATTTGTTTCCTATTAAGCATACCATTGCAATGCGCTCTTCTGATTGTTGCTGAGCCTCCTCTACAAATTTTTGCAGTTGATACTGCTTTATCAAATTCTAGAACATACAGAAAAAAAGTCCTTTAAAACGCAGAAGCAGAAATACACAAGAAAATAAAGAGGTTTTAGTTGGGAACATACTGCATAACTAGTCATGTCCAGCTTGACACCAAGCAAATCCCGAATTACATCATGTGTCATGTTTTCTGTTGCAGCCAGTCTACTGTTCAGCATACAAATCTGACAACAGATAGAGTCATAAATATGTGCAGAAAGAGTAATCATATCAAATCATACTATATTGTAAATGCGAGGACTTTTAGTTGAAGTTGTTTTATTAAAATATCCTTCAGAAATTGAATGACCATATCACCCTCTTAATTTACCCTCTAAAATATCTCTCATTAAATGCTTTACGCCTCTTTCTCCCTCCTTTCTATTCCTCTATACGAACTTTTTAATTTCAGATATTTGATGTTGGATTATAAAGTCTAACTTGGAGTGGTAGGAAAACTTATGTTGGCATTAAAAATATGTTCAATGTATATGGTGTTCTTTGTCAAAAAAAAAAAAACAAATGGTGTGAATTCACAACTAAAGATCATGAAATATTAATGTGGCAATTAAAAGTTCCATCTTTAATACAAGGAAATATAGGACGACTGAATGGGCGGGGGAGGTTACATTTGGAATGAATGGGAGATAAAAAGTCAAAGAATTGTTTGGATCAACTTTTGTGGCTTTATATTTCCCTTTCCTGAGAATTCATTTACTCCCATTAGTTTTGCAATGACATTTTTAGATGAAGAACTTTCTATAATACATCCAGTATCATAGCATGGGAAATTAGACATACTATGCCATGTACATTTCGGAAGCATAGTAATGAAGAAATATAATTTAATGCTTATGCTTGATGTTTTTATGACTTATTAGTAGTTTCCTTTTTATTTCTTTTGACTAAAATATTCTTATGATGAGATCTCATGGATTCAATTTGTGTAACAGCAAAGCTATTTTTTCTGTTTGTTGTCCTTACTTTCCTTTTTCCTCTTTTGTGAACCACTCTTAGCTTATGTCTTTTGTTTGTTTTTACTTGATATCAATATTTGATGTATTGATGTTCCACATAACATCTTCGTCCTTTTCTTTTACTTTTGTGATATTTTTAAATTATTGATTTATTTGTTACATTTATTTTTATTTGCGTCATTGTTCCAAGATCAAAGATAAGCATGGTCATGTTAAACGCCATATATTTTCACTGCAAAGAAGCTTAGAGATATTTTTTCATGTTTTAATTGTGATTCCTCATGTTAAAGATATTTCTCCATCTTCTTAGAATGTGCATGCTTGTTTGGAGTTGTAAAGCAAGTACATAACTCATATAGCGAATTTCCAATAAAGATTCGAAGATTTCTATAAATCAGGGTTCTTGCTTTATTGAGTTGGCTAAATATGATTAACAAACTTGCATTTTTTTCTTTTATCGACTTTAATTTTATAACTCAAACATATCTTTAAAACTATTTTATATTGGTACCCAATAATATGAGGTACAAGCACAACGCGCGTGCCTAGAAACTAGTTATAATATAAAAGCGGCAGGAGCTCTTTGAAACTTGGAAGGGCAGAAGATGAACGGATAGTTATAGCACTGTTGAGACAATAACCAAGAGTAACTTTGTTGGTTTTCTGAAATGAGAAGTAGATATATCAACAGGCGATGAGATACAATTGCATATCTGCCACTTAAGTCATGTACACTCGTGATTTGGTCTTAAATTGTGCAACCTATTTAGATTGCTTCAGTTCATGGAATGGAACAAGGTCGTGATAGATTGCCTCTATTAGATCTTTGCTAATATACTTCACAAGTTCTTAAATATATATCAATAGCCTTTACTCCTATTAAGGAGGAGCAACATATAAAATATGTACAGTGACAGAATTCCCCATTTTTTTGTAGAGCTTAGCAGTAAAATGGCAGTTCTTTTTCATTAACGGTGGTGTCTGGTTTAATCTTACCTTAGGAATCCACCTGGTTCTTGCTACCTCCCACTCTCCCACCAGTACAAGTACCAAGTAACTTTGCACACCAAGGCTTAAGGAAATGAGAACACGTTACATAGTGTTACTGATGAGATTTGAACTGAGCAGGTAAAAGCTATTGTTATTCATGCTTATATATGATTTCGTGATAACATCTCAGACTGAAGGTTGATGTGGATTACTAAATTTACAATATCCCAAAAGTTGCTAAAGTATCATCTTTAGGAACCACCCCACGAGCAAAGGCATTAGCTTTCTGCAGCTACCATGTCTAATATATGACTCCTGCATGAAAAACTTTATTATCTAAAAGTACATACCTCCTTCTGTTTTTGAGCCTGTAACACCTCTAGCTCTTCTATGTGAAATTTAGCTGCTGACAGTTCCTGGTCTTTCTCACTATTCATCTGCTGAACCAAACTGGAAATGCATCTGAAAGGTGAGCTTGAACCTCTTGTCCTGGTTGAGCTTGAGCACTTCTCTGTCTTATCTGAAGTTGGTCCTCCATTTAGTGTGTTTAATGAGTGAGTTTCAAGTCCATGCAGCACTGCCTCCAACTCCTTGTACTGATATCATAAATGGCGAATGAGAGCTGGTAACTGTCTCATATTTATAAGCATCATATCACCATACAGAAAACTACGGCACAGAGATTTGGCTACAGCTCCAAGTGGACTGTGCAGTCTCTAGCGTGGAACTTACATTAGAAGATTGTAAATGGTTTTTCCTTTCCAATTGTAATTATAAATTCCTTTCCCATAAAAAGCTGTGAGTCCAAAGAAATTTTTAAGTCTAGTATGGGCAATATTCAAAGATTTTCCATAAGTAGAAACTCACAGCATAAGTTTCAACAACAACTCAGTAAAATCCCTCGAGTGGGGTATGGGGAGGCTAGTGTGTACACAGACCTTACCCCTACCCTGGGGGGTAGAGAGGCCGTTTCTGATAGACCCTCGGCCACAGCATAAGTTTCACTTTGCAGAATTAATTTTAATGCCTGAAGTAAATTCAGTGGATTCCCTAGCACTAGGCTTAAAATGTGGATTTTGAAATCTCGTCCTGAGAAACGAATTAGAGATACAGAGGTTTTGCTACTTGATTTTGTTATTTACTTGCTCACAACTATAGGTTATATGGACTTGCTATGCTTTACAATACCTTTTGTTGATACTGTGATGCTTGGGCTTGGGCGTGCAACAAGATTTCTGAAATGTATTCCTTGTATTGTTCTATCTACAGCATATAAACCAAAGCTAAGTATTATGTGGAAAATATGGCTGGACAAAAAGTCTTATAATGAAAGAAATCAACCTGTGACACAAGAACCTACCTCTTTAGTTAGCTCTGCTTTTTCTTCTTCAAGATCTCCTATTCGGTAATAAACCTCAGTAGGCTCCACGAACCTGCCATATAGTTTCTTGATCAATGTCACATCATATACCATATCATGGTTATGTATCAAATCATCCTGTATGCAATTAAACCACATGAACTTTCTGACCTCGAAAATTGATCCTTTGTGGACAGTTCACCTGAGCTCTTCATGTCCATACTTCGAGAGTTCTCAACCATTAATAATCTTTTTCTTAGCGCTTGAAGTTCCAGTTCTAATGAATCTCTAATCAGGCGATCTCTTTCTACCTCTTCTTCCATTTCATGTACCTCAAAAAGGGGATAAAATAAAGGACCTGAATTTCTTAACATCAAACCAACAGAATAAAGCTTGCTCATTCCACATTTAAAGGAGAGCTCAACTTGAATTAAAAAGTTGCACTACTCCTGATTTTGCCAGGGGCCAATGAACAGTGGGCATTTTCAAGTCTGAACATATTTAAAATGTGGAAAGGCTTACCTTATTCTCCAGTACATTTATGGTGCCGTCAAGTTCCTCAACTGAGTGTTCTAAAATCTTAACCTCCTCATCTTTTTGTTCAGCATACATTTTACTGGCTTCTGATGCCTGGTAAATTAAGAAGTAAGTCATCAGTGCAGGACATGTCCATCAAAGTTTAACTAGTTAAATATTCTTCAGAAAATACAAACCTGGTGAGCTTGTACAGCAATAGCTTCATTCTCATCAGCTAGTGAACATGCCATATCAAGCCTGTCTTGCAGGAACCGGAGTTGTTCAAGAAGCTGGTTCTTTTCTCCAGTAACCCTCTTGAGATCATCTTCTGTATCTTTATCTGTCATCGATGGTATCAGTTGTTTCTCTGCAGAGGAGGTCAGCCGAAGAATTTCACTTTCTAGGCTTTTCACAATCTCTCTTTGTTCTTCCAACTCATCCTCTGTTTGAGACTTCTTCAGACAAAGATCATCTAAAAGAGCTCTCAACTCAGAGTTTTGATTTGAGAAAGTATCCGATTCTCTTCTAGTCTCTTCAAGATCAGATTTTGAGGCAAATAGATCACTCTCCATCTCTTTCAGCCGATTTTCAAGAGTTCTGTGCTGAATGAGCATTTCATCTAGTTGATGTTCTTTAGTAGATAACTCATTTTGAGCTTGATCCAAAGCTGCAATTAACTTTTCAACTTCATCCGTGATATCCTTTCTGCTAGAAGCTGATTCTTGCAATAAGCTAATGTCAAATAGCAAACCTTTCAGCAAAGCTTCTTTTCGTTCCAATTCTTTTCTAAGCTCCAAATTTTCATTTTTGCTGTTAATCTGGTCTAAACCCAACTCTTTATCCTCCATTTTTCCAAAGCTTGTAATTCCATCCAGTTCTTCTTTATCCATTATCATGCCAATATTACAACTTCCGCAACTTCTCCCCAAGTCACGTATAGAATCTATAGCTTCGCAACGGTATAGCACAGTAGAGGATATCCCATTCTTCATAGTGTCAAAAACAATACCTTCTAGTAATAAATTTGAGTTGCTAATGAGGTTCAGTGTCTCTTCTGCCATTCTAAAAGCATCAGCAAACAATGTTTTCAAAAATTCCTCCACATCTTTTTGCATATCCAAGAAAGACCCTTCAAGCAAGGACATTGTATTTGAAATTTCTTGCAAGCTGCAACAGGCCTCATCCTGTAGTATTCCTATTTCTTCATCTCTCTGTCGAATGGAGGACTTAAGTTGTTTGACATCTTCAACCAAGCTTGCTTTCTGCTCCAGTAATTCCTCTTCTGCTTGTCTCAACATAGAAGTCAATTTTTTTTCATTTTCATTCACTTTAACCAGAGTATTTAACGTGTAATCTACTTCTTTGATGGTTGAGAAGGCGAGCTCAAACTTCTTAAAGAAGTTTTTCTCTTCAGTGATTTCGTCACCAGTTTCTTCCTGCAAGCTCAGAATGAACCCCAAGAAAACAATAGTAAATTTTCAGAACTTACGAGAGCAGGGAACTACTTTATCTAGTAATACAAAGATAAAACCACAACAATTTGACCTCTTTTCTTACCTAAGCGATAAAAGGATGTTAAGTTTCAGAATTCAATTTAAGTTTATTGAAAAACTATTTGACATCTGTATTACCTCTCTCCTGTAGTTGCAGCTAAATTCAGCTCCATGCATCATCATTTTATGACCCTGAATTATTTCATTTTGTTGATTCTTGATTGGCTGCTGGTCATTCAGTTTTGCAAGTTCAGCTGAATCAGAGAGATACATCACTGGGGGTGAGCCCTCTCCTTTCTCATTGAAAACGGAATAAAACTGAGCATTTATTTTGGCAAAAGCACCATATGCCATTTTAAAATCCCTCCTCAAATGCAGTAGTGTTGTGCCTTCTAGATTCAAATTCTTCGGTATGCTTTGTGAATTACAACTGTGGGGAGATGTATTTGACCTTTTTCCTGAAGCAACACTTTCAGTTGAAAGATTAGAACATGAAGCCAAACAGTCAGTTGTCCATCCATCTGATTCACTTGGATCCTCAGTTGTATCAGGACATAGATGCAAATTCAAAATTCTGCTAAGATTTGCTGTGATGTGATTCAGTTTCTCGTTTGTTTCAACAAGTTCATACCTAATCTGATGCAGCAGTTTCTGCTGTTTGTTATGGTCATGAAGCTTACTGGTATCACTTGATGGAAATCCAACTGCATGGTACTGAGAACTACCATTTTCTATTAGATCATAGAACTTATTCCTCATCTGATGGATAAGATCTAGAAATTCTTGATTGAACTCCTTGCACAAGCAAATCATTTTATAGGCGTCTGATTGGAGGCCTGACAGATAGTTTTGTGCATCAAAGCAAAGAGCATTTACAGCATTCTCCACCTCCAGTAGCTTTAACATTGCCAACTCAATATTATTTTCATTAGCTATCAATGCTAATACACTTTCACTTGAACTGTCTCCTTTTGTGAGGTTTCTGTCAAGACTATCAGATCCATCATTTGCAGAAAATGAAGCAGCATGAACCTCAGCGGTGTGGTTCCCCTTGTGCAGCAGATGTTTTTCTACAGATTCCAACCTACTGATTTGATCATCTAAAGAAGAAACTAGCTGGAATGCTTCCTTGTCGCTTGACTCATTGTCTAACTGCTGAGCTTGAGTAAAAGCCATTGTTGCACCTTTCAGAGAATTCAATTTCTCATCCATTTGCAATATGACCCGTTGTGCTTCTTCCAAACTCCTTCTTAACAAAAGAATGGTTTCTTCCTTCTCAACACAAATTTTAGCAGCTCTCTCAACATGTCCACCAATGCAAGCATTGATGTCAGGAAATGAGCAAGCTATATGTTCTATGTGGGAGGAAGCATCTCGCAGGGACTTAGAGCCATCTACTAGAAAGGATGTTAGCTCCAAAGTTGCTATTTCCCATTCCATGCACAGCGCCTCTATTTCTTCCTCTTTAGCTTCCAGATTGTTCTTTAAACTCATGTTTTCATCAGCCATTAAGCATAATTTCTCCTGTAGTTCGGACTTCATTGCAACAATCTCTTCCTGCATATGAAGAATCGCTTTAGTTGTTTCTGTTTCAACTTCCTCACGCACTAACTCAGTTTGGTGTTCCTCTGACAACTTTAATGCATGATCCTCCAGATATTGGCTATTAAGCAAGTGAGCCTCCCCAAGGTCCTTGGACATTTTCTCCAACTTAGCTTGCAAAGCCACCATGCAGAGGTCTCCATTACTGTCCTGATTTTCAAAAACAGAGCCTCTTGATTCATGGCTATCAGGTTTAGGCCTGTGTTGTATTCCAGCCCTTTCAGTTTCACACAGCTGCTTAGACAGCCTTTGATTTTCTTCCCTTGTGAATTCTAGCTCTTCTATTAGCTTAACTTGTTCCTCTTCCATTGCTTCCATCAAGGATCTTGCTTCAACCAACTGTTTCATTATATCTTTATGCTGCGAAATGGAGGCCCAATCAATTTCGACAACTTCTTGATGTTTGGATTCTCCACCTTCTAGTGGGTCTTGTGATGCCCTGTTTACTTTATCAGCTTCAGTTGATATGGTCTCCACCTGTTAAAGTACCGGTTAGACAACAGCATAAACAAAGAGTTCAGTATCTCAATTGATTTAATCTTCCTTGCCTCTATATCTGCAAATAATTTTCCGGCTTGGGATTTCTATATGTCAAGGAGGAAAATTTAATCCTTGTTACGGAAAAAATGTAGGATCCTCTTACAAAATCAAATGCAGCTTGGTTAAGGTTCACATGTTTTCCCAATTCTCCTTGCAATTCATCAACCTCACTGCAAACCGAAAGACAGATCAGAAGCGGAACCAAAAAAAAAACTTTTGAATGAGAACAGTAATGAAATTTGAACTCTCATTTCATTGAGGCATTACTAAGAGAGTAAAGTTTGCCATGCTGTTTGGATGTCAAGAAAGAAAGTATCAATCTTGTCACACCATAGTTTTGAAATTATAACTTAGAAGGGTAAAATTAATATATGTATTTTGACAAATACCCATGAACGCTCGCACACCCGCACACATATATGAGTTCCACTCATTTGGTAAGCGATATAAGCAATCTTTGTGCTCCGAAAGAAATTAAATTTGCTGAATAGCATTGAACCACCTCATCTAAAAGTTAAAATGTTAGAGAGGAGACACTTCCATTTATTTATTTATTTAGGTCTAAAACACGACCCTCACATGCCGGCACTAATTCTTTTTCTTGGGCCAAGCACATTAAAATAATTTAGCTTTTGTGTGGTGGTGAGACTGAACGCAAAACCTCTATCTGCTCTACTACCATGCTAAATAGTGGTGGACATGTCATGACTTGAGAAATGCAGCTGTTAAGTGGTTAGTCATGGATAGTGTCCCACATCGGAAAGTAGATATCTATTATTATGTAATCACTGTATATAAATAGGGCGTTGTACAACACTTAAGATAATAAATATAAAACTTTTCCGTGCTATACTTCTCACATGGTGTCAGAGCGTTGGTGAGAAACATCCAGGAAAAAAAACTCCGCCAGACAGTCGCCGTGTGTCAATTTCCAGCGACTTCTAGGACTTTTATTGCGTCATCTAACGTTCCCTCCAGTGTTGTGCTAAAACCAACACCACCACAGGGTCCTACACCCTCCGGTGACCAAACCCCAGAAAACCCCGCCGGACACACGCGCCCACACGTGCCGACCAGAGGGAAGAAAATTCCAGCGAGATCTCCTCATGCACCGGCGCGTGAGCTGCTTTCCGGTCAGTTTCTAACATAAGTTCTTTTGGACAGCTTGCTCGCGAGGCTATTCCGAGCCTATCCATCCGCGTTACATCAAATTCCGACAACTTTTTTATTTTCCGGCGACTATTCAGTTTCCGGCGAGATAAGTGTTTTTTCTTCACTATTCGTGTGAGCTTTTTAGTGTTCTTGATTGTATGTGCTATTTGGTCCAACAATGTCTTTGGGGCTTCATATTTTTGGTTCTAAAAACATGGGTTCTGGAAATTCAAGTTTGATGATTACTTCGGAACCCTTAATGGGAAGTTCAAACTACTTAGCCTGGGCTTCTTCTGTTGAGTTGTGGTGCAAGGGTTAAGGTGTTCAAGATCACCTAGTCAAGAAGACTAGTGGTGGAGATGAAAAGGCCAAAGCACTCTGGGAGAAAATTGATGCTCAATTATGTAGTTTGTTGTGGCGATCGATTGATTCCAAGTTAATGCCTTTGTTTCGTCCATTCCAGACATGTTATTCAGCTTGGGAGAAGGCTCGTACTTTATACACTAATGATATATCTCGCTTTTATGATGTGATATCTCGGATGACAAGCTTAAAGAAACAAGAATTGGATATGCTACTTACTTGGGACAAGTGCAGGCAGTTATGAAGGAATTTGAGAAGTTGATGCCAGTCACTGCTAGTGTTGAACAACAACAAGAGCAACGACAGAAGATGTTTCTAGTTCTTACACTTGCTGGATTGCCTAATGACCTTGACTCAGTGAGAGATCAAATTTTGGCTAGTCATTCGGTTCCTACAATTGATGAATTATTCTCTCTGTTTCGTCTTGCTGCGCCACCCAGTCGCACAGTGATCTCACCACCAACTGTTGACTCCTCTATTCTCGCATCTCAGACAATGGAAAATCGGACATCTCAGGCTATGGAGAATCGGAGGAGGTCGTTTTGGGAGATCTCGATCCAAATGTTCTTATTGTAATAAACTTGGACACACTCGTGAAATATGTTATTCTTTACATGGTCGACCACCCAAAAACGCTCATGTTGCTCAAACCGAGACTACAGGTAACCAGGAATTTTCTTTATCTGAAAGGGAATATAATGAGTTCCTTCAATATCAAGCAAGTAAGCAGACATCTCCACAAGTAGCCTCGGCTGCTCAGATTGATACTCCCGTTGCTGGTAATTCTTTTGCTTATGTTTCTAAGTCAAGTACTCTTGGACCGTGGGTCATGGACTCAGGAGCTTCTGATCATATCTCTGGTAATAAATTACTTTTGTCGAACATTGTGTATTCGTAGTCTCTTCCTACTGTTTCTTTAGCCAATGGGTTCCAAACTAAAGCAAAAGGAGTTGGACAAACTAATCCCTCATCTTCTGTCACTCTAGATTCCGTTCTTTATGTCTCTGGTTATCCATTTAGTCTTGCATATGTTAGTTGTAGAAAAAGCAGACAGGAACAGTTTGATTCTTTAAACAAGCAGGTTTTGGCTTCTTTTTTAGCACCCTAATTCTCTTGTTGGCTTTGATACCATGAAATAAAATAGAGAAAAAGGTTGACTCGTGCCCTCCATTGTGGCATATATTTTATTGATGATTCTTTTATTATGCAGGACTGCAGTACGGGGCAGACGATTGGCACAGGGCTTGAATCACAAGGGTTTTACTACCTTCACTCACTCAATCCTTCCACAGCATGTCCAGTTACAGATCCTCCAGACCTAATTCACTGAAGTTTAGGACATCCGAGTTTATCCAAGCTTCAGAAGGTGGTGCCTAGTTTATCTAGATTAGATTGTGAGTCGTGTCAACTTGGAAAACATACCCGAGCCACATTTCCGCGTAGTGCTGAGAGTCGTTCAGAGTCTGTTTTTTCTTTAGTTCATTCTGATATATGGGGTCCTAGTAGAGTTAGTTCAACCTTAAGATTTCGTTATTTTGTTAGTTTCATTGATGATTACTCAAGATGTACATGGATTTTCCTAATGAAAGATCGTTCTAAGTTGTTTTCTATCTTCCAGAATTTTTGTGCTGAAATTAAAAATCAATTTGGTGTTTCTATTCGCACTTTTCATAGTGATAATGCTTTAGAATACTTATCCTCTCAATTTCAGCAGTTTATGACCTCTCAAGGAATTATCCATCAAACATCTTGTCTGTATACCCCTCAGCATAATGGGGTAGCAGAGAAAAAGAATAGGCATCTCATTGAAACTACTCGCAGACTTCTCATTCAGTCCCATGTTCCGCAGCGTTTTTGGGGCAATGCAGTTCTTACAGCTTGTTACTTCATTAATCGAATGCCTTCATCTACTATCCAGAATCAGTTTTCACACTCAGTATTGTTCCCTCAGTCACCCTTATACTCTCTTTCTCCACGTGTTTTTGGGAGTACATGTTTTGTTCACAACTTAGCTCCTGGAAAAGATAAGTTAGCTTCTCGTGCTCTTAAGTGTGTCTTCCTTGGTTATTCTTGGGTTCAAAAGGGGTATCGCTGCTACTCACCTGACCTTCGTAGATATCTTATGTCAGCTGATGTCACATTTTTTGAGTCTCAACCTTACTTTACTTCTTCTGATCATCTTAATATATCTACTTGTACCTACTTGTGAGGAATCCACACCCACAACACCACCACAACCACAACTACCTATACATACTTTTGAGGAGTCTACAGTTGTTCCTCCTACTTCTTCTGATCATTTTAATATATCTGAAGTCTTACTTGTACCTACTTGTGAGGAATCCACACCCACAGCACCATCACAACCACAACTACATATACATACTTTTGAGGAGTCTACAGTTGCTCCTCCTACATCCCCAGCCGCAAGGCCACCACTCTTGACTTATCATCGTCGTCCACGTCCAGCATCAGGCCCAGGTGATTCACGTCCTACATCAAATTCTGCACCTACTACGGACTTGTCTCCTCTTAGTCAACCAATTGCACTCTGCAAAGGTATACGATCCACACTTAATCCTAATTCACATTATGTCGGTTTAAGTTATCATCGTCTGTCATCACCCCATTATGCTTTTATATCATCTTTGTCCACTATTTCTATCGCTAAATCTACAGGTGAGGCACTATCTCATCCAGGATGGCGACAGGCTATGATTGACGAGATGTCTGCTCTACATGCGAGTGGCACTTGGGAGCTTGTTCCTCTTCCTTTAGGTAAGTCTACAGTTGATTGTCGTTGGGTTTATGCAGTCAAAGCCGGTCCGGATGGCCAGGTTGATCGGCTTAAGGCTCGTCTTGATGCAAAAGGATACACTCAGATTTTTTGGCTTGATTATAGTGACACTTTCTCTCCCGTGGCTAAAGTAGCATCTGTTCGCCTCTTTTTGTCCATGGTTGTTGTACGTCATTGGCCTCTTTATCAGTTAGAAATTAAGAATATTTTTTTCCACGGTGATCTTGAGAAAGAAGTATATATGGAGCAACCATCTGATTTTGTTGCTCAGAGGGAGTCTAGTGGTCTTGTATGCCGATTGCATAGGTCACGATGTGGTTTGAAACAGTCCCCTCGAGCTTGGTTTGGTAAGTTCAGCACAGTTATTCAGGAGTTCGACATGACTCGTAGTGAAGCTGATCACTCTATGTTTTATCAGCATTCTGCTCCTAATCTGTGTATTTATATGGTGGTTTATGTTGATGATATTGTTATTACTGGCAATGATCAGGATGGTATTACTAATCTGAAACAACATCTCTTTCAGCACTTCCAAACTAAAGATCTGGGCAGATTGAAGTATTTTCTAGGTATTGAGGTCGCTCAGTCTAGCTCAGGTATTGTTATTTCATAGCGGAAGTATGCCTTAGACATTCTTGAGGAGACTGGAATGATGGGTTGCAGACCTGTTGACACTCCTATGGATCCGAATGCTAAGCTTCTGCCAGGACAGGGGGAGCCTCTTAGAGATCCTACGAGATATAGGAGGTTGGTTGGCAAATTGAATTACCTCACGGTGACTAGACCTGACATTTCTTTGCCTGTGAGTGTTGTAAGTCAGTTTATGGATTCTCCCATGCAGTTGTTCGCATTCTTCGG